TCGTTTCTCCTTCGTCGTCAACGTTGGTTTGCTCTGTTGATCCTTCTGATATCTCTACTGTTGACGCCCCCCCGAAAAAAAACAAAAACAACAAACAACAACTGCAGTGTTGACTCATATTGGAACCCTTTTTGATATTTACTCTTTTTCTTTTCTATCTGCTTTAAGGGATCAATTTAAGATGTGATATTTTGCAAGTATTGGTTGTGAACTGCTTTTTGTTTTCTTTTTTGTCTACGTTCTTGCCCTCTGATCATAAAAAAAAAAATACCCAGAAAAAAGGGAAAGCTATGGTATTAACATGTTTTTATATGGTTATATTTTTTAAAAAGTGCTTCACATTATTGCACAAATTATCAAAATTGTGTTGATGGGGACGTAAAAAACATATACATTAAAAAATAAAATTATTTTTGCTGTTTTGTCATTCTAATTAGCCCATTTTCCTTTTCTATGTTTTTGCTGTCTTGACTTCTTGCAGGGAGGTTATGAAAGAGGTGATGGACCCAGCCTACTTGGAGCATGATGCATAGTGAGTGAAATATTTATCTCATAACTTCTCAGGCAACAAATAGTGGAATTTTTTCCCCTAAAGATTTTATACCCCCCCCAGGGTGGTGCCACTCAACCAAGTGTCTTTAGGCCATTCCCAAAGGGGGGACATTTCTCGTTCATGTACAGTAGAATTGTAAATGGGCTGATTCATCAATGCCACGCTCATAGCTGTGCCTGATCTACAATAGGGAACTGCTGCTTTTTCTTTCCTAGTCCTTACTATTGTCATTTTTCCTCTACTTCCTTTGTATGTTTGTCTCACTCTTGTGACGCGCTATTTCCGGGGTGCCTTGTAAGTCTAAACAGACGTTGTGCTGTTGAAGCTAGAGAGGTGAGCAGCAGAGTAAGCCTGTTTCCCTGTAAAGACTTCTCTGTTGACATCCACCCCTTGACGCTCATATGACCTCATGCAGCTGCGAGTGCCGTAAAAACCTCTACTAAATAATTTAAAAAAAGATTTGATCCTATGTGTACCAGTAGAATTTATTGGTGTCTGTGGTGTACTGGTTGAGTGCAGTGCTGTTGCTTACAGAAAGTGTGAGTTTGGTTGGGATGTGGGATGGATTTTTATCAAGTATCTCCATCTTCCTGCTAGAAGGTTTTATACTTTTCAGCTCAGGTTGGCCCTGATGGGCATGGTTGAAGCAGCCTGCTTCATAAATGATTGATGATCTTAATAGTGTGCAGGGGTATTTATTTACTTATTTACTTATATATATTTTTTTCTCCATTTTATTAAAAACAATTTTTTTCATGTTCTTGATTTTATAAAATTAAGATTAAGTACACAATTATTGTTGCGATGTGTGTTGCTAAACTGGACCGCAACATAGTAGTCATTGATTATTATGTCTCTTTTGAGACTGCTTTGCGCAGTCTTATACCATTTTCAATGTACCTCACATATTTTCCCTCACTATCTCACAAATGAGTGTTTGGTGGGTTGCTCTGGTGCGGTTTGCTCCTTCTTTTCTATCAAACATCTATCATCCTTATCTCTTCTCCTTTTAAAAAAATTTGTTACTCTCTCGTAACACCTCTAAACTTCGGCTCGTATATGATCTAATTGTGTTGCGAGTGCCCTAAAATTCTTACTGTGGGTAGTTGGCGGGTGCTCTGGTGTGCTCCTTCTATTTTGTATTTGTTACCCTCTTGTAACACCTCTAATCTTTTGCACTTATATGACCTTATTGTGTTGCAAGTGCCGTAAGACACTTACTAAACTAAAACTTATCTCTCCCCCTTCTTTTTGGGATTTGTTACTCTCTCGTAACACCTGTAATCTTCGGTCCCCCCCGGGGCAGTGCCACTGACTGAAGTGTCTTTAGGACATTCCCAAAGGGGGGACATTTCTCGTTCAAGCAAAGTAGAATTGTAAATGGGCTGACTCATGTCACACTCATAACTGTGGCTGATCTACAACAGGGAACTGCTGCTTTTTCTTTCCTGATATTTACTATTGTCATTTTCCTCTACTTCTTTTGTATGTTTGTCACTTTCTTGTGACCTGCTATTTTGGGGTGCCTTGATAGTCGAAGCAGACCTTGTGCTGTTGAAGCTAGAGAGGTGAGCAGTCTAAGTCTGATTCCCTGTAAAGACTTCTCTGTTGACACCCCCCCCCTTGGTGCTCATATGACCTTATGAAGTTGCGAGCACCGTAAAACCCTCGATATAAAAAAATAAAAGTAATCTTCGATTGATATATGACCTAATAACGCTGTGAGTGCTGTTAAAACTTTTACTGAAACAAAAAAGAAATCATGTTATGACTGATTTCTCCTTCCTTTGCAGCTCGATGTTCTGCCAAGTGATGGAGACTGTGGAGCCTTGGTATCTGTCCAGAGACTATAGCTTTGCTAAGGTTAGTTCTGTGTCTGCCTGTCTGCCTGTCTGCCTGTCTGTCTGTCTGTCTGTCTGTCAGTCTGTCTGTCTGTCTGTCTGTCTGTCTGTCTGTCTGTCTGTCTGTCTGTCTGTCCTAACTGAGAACGAAGCATTCACAGAAGTTAATCTCTGACTCCTCCTCTAGTGTGTGTTGAAAGTCACCGAAGAAGCACACTCTGGTCATTCAATAATGCCCAAATGTTCTGTTTTTGGGGGCACTTTGAAAGAACAAAGCATATCTTTGGGTGGTTGGCGGGGGCTCTGGTGTTGTTTGCTCCTTCTTTCCTATCAACAATCTATCGTCCTGATCTCCTCTATTTCTTTTTTTTGGTGTTTGTTACTCTCATGTAACACCTCTAATCTTCAGCACTAAAATGACCTTATTGTGTTGCAAGTGCCGTAAGACGCTTACTAAAACTAAAACTAGACAAAAAAGCATATCTTCGTTATTCAACAAGGTTTTTTTCAATTCTGTTTCCTGTATCTGAAACCAGGAAAGGCCTTCAACAGCACGCACACTATGAAATATGCTAGTTCGTGTTTCTGATTTGTGTATGATGGTTGGAAATGTGCTGCGACATTGTGTCTTTGGTCTGCTGCTGATCAGACATGTTATTTGAGGCGTGCTGACATAATGAGTAAGTTCTCGCAATCGAAGAACGGAGATATGGGCGGAAAATTGACACTGTGGTGAGAGTTATATATTTCCAATTGATGCCACTTTGTTTAAGTCTACTGTTGTGTTTCGCAAACTCATATGACCTTATGCGGTTGTGAGCACAGTTAAACTCTTACTAAACTAAGTCTACTGTGTCTTTTATTATTCCATGTTTACAAATTTTACCAACTCCACCGAAAAAGTTGATGTATCACTTTCCATAAGGCTAAAATCAGAGAAGTAACTCATTTTGTCAGTAAACCTCATATATGTGTCCACTACGTCCTTAACTCTTAGAATTCGGTGCGACTACTGCCTGGATGTTTTATTATTGTTTTTTTTGGGTTTTTTTCCCCTCATTCTTTGGAAATATCTGCTTGCCTCTACTACTGCTGTATCGTCATATACTAAATCTTCACTCTTTTCTTATAATTGGATGAGTATAATAATAATAATAATACTTGCTTGTAGCTTGAAACCTATCTTTTTATGCTGAAAATGCTATTGTTTAGGTTAATATATTTAAACTAAATTTATTGTAACATATTAGGGAATAGGCTTACGACTTGTGATAGTAAATCTTATATTTCTTCAGGGAGGGTCTCTGCGTAGCCTCGAGATCATCAATGCAACTCCATTCTCAAGGTCACAAGACCTGAACCCTTCCAACGCCATTGTGACCAAGTTGACACGGATACAGGACTATATACTGAAGAAATATGACCAAGAACTGCATCAGCACCTGGAGAGGTTAGAAATTGCACCACAGATCTACGGCATGTAAGTATGTTGAATTATTGTAATGGTGGGTGTTGGAGCCTGACTTGGGGATTGCCTTGTTAGGGAAACAACTTCCTGGGCCTTCTGCATATTGTGGTAGGGCGGCCAGTTCCTTTCCACGCTGCCTTTACCTCTCCAGCTTGAAGTCAGGTACCCATTACTGCTGGTTGGGCAGGAGGGAACGAAAAAAATTTGTCCAAACCGAGGCTCGTACGCGGACTTTCCGTTTCGGAAGCAAGCGCCCTAACTGCTCCGCCACCGCAACCTCTTGAGGGAGCATTTTTATCAAATATCTTTGTCTTTCTGCTGAGCATTGTGAAATGGTATCCCTCTTGGCCTGGGTTGGTTCTGACAGGCAGGGTTGAAACCAGCCCCACATAATGATAAAAAATGTGTAAATATGGGTGTAAGAACATCTACGTAAAAATAAAGGAAATAGTATGACCGATGGCAAAGCAGTGAAAAAGAAGCTATTGAAAGTAGTGATGACTCTTTTGTTTTAGTAAGTGTTTTACGGCACTTGCAACTCAGTAAGGTCATATAAATGCCGAAGATTAGAGGTGTTACAAGAGAGTAAGAAACACAAAAAAGAAAGAGCAAAAATAAAGATGACAGATGTTTGATAGGAAAGAAGGAGCAAAACACACCAGAGCACCCGCCAATCACCCACAGTGATGACTCTGATGACATTTGTCCAAGCGAAGTAGAGGGAGATTCTCATGTAGATGATAGTGACAGGGAAGAAAACTAGACGTTGTTTCTACAGCTAAGTACTCCTACGAAGATATACTGTACTTTCTAAGGGGTGGCAAAAGAGGGGGTGGTCGTGTGCTACTTGGTCAATGTAGACAGACAATGGGAATGGTCCAGAGAAAGGAAACCACTCTTGGGGAATGTACTTGGCAGAATTGAAATTAACTCTTTATCTCTGAAGGGGGTAAACCCACTATGCCGGGGCCCTTATTTGGAACTAAAACAAAAAGCGATAAAAAATATCACTAAATTGGTCATTAAATCAAAAGAAGTGAACCTGTTTTGATATCCTAATCAAATGAATGAAATCCTGATAAAAGAGACCTGTTTTCGGTAAATGCCGAAAAGTAATTAGATGTCGAAGTCATCGTAAAGGAATGTGCCCAAGTCGCTGTCAGCGACTCACCCGCACAGCAGTTCTGAGATAAAGAGTTAACCAGACAAAATGGCTTGATCATCTGTTCAGTTTATTAGATAAGATGAAGTAAGGTACATCTTTATTGTCCAGAACCTGGCACGTTGGTTTGGTGTTTCACCACGTACATACATACACATACACACACCCATGCACACACACACGCAATGATTATATTGTTAACAAGTAAAATGAGGACGTTTCGTTGTTTCTCAAGACTTATGGTGACCCACTAGCTATTTTTTAATCCAAAATGTGTGTGTGAGTATGCATGTGGGGGGGGGGGGATGTTATTTCAACCAATCAATCAATGCCTTTCACCACTGGCAAGGTATAGGCCACGTACAAGCTCCTTCCATTTATCTCTGTCCTGGGCCTTCCTTCCAAGCTCTTTCCAAGTGAGCTTCATCTTTCTTATGTCCCTTTCTACACATTTCCTCCTTGGTTCCCGTTGCCCACCCCTGCCTCGTGTTCGCTGTGGGTTCCACTGCAGCGACAGTCTTGTGATGTTTCCGCTGGGCTTTCTTAGGGTGTGTCCCATCCATCGCCGTTTTCTTAGTCCTATTTCTACTTCTATATCCTTTTGTCCTGTCCTTTCCCACAGTTAATTTTTTGTTCTACTCTGCCACTTAATTCTTAGGATAAAATGTTATACATTTCTTTCATTTTCTGAATTTCAAATACATTTCTTTCATTTTCTGAATTTCAAATTGTATTTTCCAGCCGATGGCTCCGTCTTCTTTTTGGGCGAGAGTTTCCAATGCAGGATCTACTAATGCTGTGGGACGCCATCTTTGCTGATGGCATCGGATTTGATCTTGTTGACTATGTTTTTGTCGCAATGCTGCTCTACCTAAGAGATATCTGTAAGTAGATAGTGTTTGAAGAAATACTGCTAAGCGTCTAAAAAAATTTGGATCTGTTTTTTCATTTTTATATGTTTCTGTAAATTGCAATGATGCTTTACACCCCATTGACAAAGTTTATGTTATTTGGAGAAGTGCATTGTTTACCCTGCCATCTGGGGATGAGTCAGAGATACTCAATTAAAAAACTTTTCAATGCTGAAACGTTTCCATTTATGTTTGTGCAGAGGAGACAAAATATATTAATTCAAGAGAGATTTAAACAAAGTGACAATGTACTTCCCCATGTTAAGAATAATACACTGCAAAAGTTGCAAATTCATCTTCAAAAATGTCCTCAATAAACCAGTAGAAAAAAATGGCAGTGAACCGGTTTAGGAGAGCATGTGTGAATTCATAGATCTTCACAGTAGTGAAGAGGTTAAAAAAAACCCCTCTCCTTACGCCTTCTACATTGATGGTGAAGCACCTTACCATACCCTTTGTAAGGCGGGCTGACAAAATGAGTTACTTCTCAGATTTGAGCGCTATGTGAAAGGAAACATCACACTTATAGGTGAAGTTTTTAGAATTTATAGGTTATGAAATAAATAAAGGCATATTATATTAGACTCTGTCATACTCAGAGGGCCGGCAAGGAAACTATGGTAAGTCATGTTTTTTTTTTAATTTACAGGAGAGACAGAAAATGGATTTTCTTTAAGCGTTTTTGGTGGATAAACTTCATTTTCATAAGGGAGCCTAATGTGTGTCACGGCATTAGTAGGCTCCCTTATGAAAATGAAATTTCTCCACCCAAACTGCTTCAAGAAAATCCGTTTTTGTCTTTCCTGTAAAATTTGAAAAACATGACTTGCCATAGTTTACTTGGCAGCCCTCGAACGTCACTTTCCAAAATGGTGTACGGTAGAGTCTTATACAAAGCAGTCGATATAGTGTCTGATTCTGTTTTGTGGGTGGTTAGCGGGTGCTCTGGAGTGATTTGCCCCTTCTTTCCTATCAAACATCTATTGTTCTTAACTCTCTGTCTTCTTTCTTGTGTTTGTTACTGTTTTGTAACACCTCTAATCTTTGGTACTTAAGATAAGATAAGATGAGATAATACTTTATTGTCTCACAGGGAAATTTTTATTGTCTGTACAGGACCGTAAAAACACATACAGGTATACTTAAAAAGATTAGATAAATAAACAAGGTTGTGTAATTGTGTTGTGAGTGCCGTTAAACTCTTACCACAACCACAACTAAAACTAATCCCATTTCCTTTGTTTCAGTACTGAGCTGCGACTACGCCACATGCCTGACGGCGTTGATGAAATACCCACCAGTGCCAGACGTTCACTACTTTGTGGACAAGGCTCTATGGCTGAGAGAGCCCAATGTGAGACGCTCGCTGTCTGCCTTCGTGTCTTCTTTATGTCTTTTTGAAAGGAAATAAAATACGAATTGGTGGAATCGGGCGCTTGCCAATTTTTTGGCATGTGGAGTTATTGGTATTACCCGAAAGCTTATTGGTTTGCCTTGCTTTCAGTGTAAGAAATACCCATTTATCTTAAATAGAAGTCCAGATATTTGAGATTGAAGGAGGTCGGTAAAATTAGGGAGAAAATGGCCACCAAAGTTTTGTTACTTCAATAGCTTGAGAGTCCTTCAAAGCTGAAAAATTTCATACGTCGTGACTTTAATCAACATTTTTCAGTAAAATTAACAGGAAATGTGTTTTATGATGGACATGAAAGGTGTTGGGCCAAAAAATAAAAGTTTGATAAAATTTGCTGAACGGGAGAAAAAATGCCTGTTTCTTTGATTTCATTATTTTGATGAGCGCCTGATTTCACCACGATGCCTCACAATTAGCTTCCACTTTATTGATCCATGTTGAGAAATTACGTTTACAATGGATTTCATACATTATATAAACATACATGCACGCCCATGCACACGCACATGCACACACACATGAACACACACACACGCAAACGCACACACAAAAACACAAACACATATGTGCGTGACGGAGTCTTACACAAAGCAGTCAGTATATATTCTTTGCTACCCTTTTACATCCTATTCAGTGTGCACTGTAACAATACCAGGTTTTTAAGTAAATGACAAAGACTGCGGCCTCCCATAACTCAACCAGGCTTTTTTTTCCACTTCTGTTGTTAGTATCGCGGGCGGCATAGCATACTGACATAAGTCATTTTTGGCGGCCTTTGAGATACGTTTGTCAGGGTCTGTAAGCAATACTTCCCGCAACATTTTTTGGACTGGAAGTGTAATGTAATCATGTCTCCCCGCCTGAGATTATCCTTTCTTACGTGTTTCATCAACATTTCCTTCCAGCAAAACCCAAGGCCTCCAAACTACACCCATGTTGGAGGGATCCGAACCAGCAGCAGCATGGGCAGCGGGGATAACATGAGCAGTGGGGCCAGTTCCAGCTGTCGGGACAATGCCAGAGGTTGGTTCTTCTTACTCGTCTTGTTGACCTGAATGTGAAAGGATATTTTTTTTCTTAACTATCTTTTCATCTTTTTTGAAGTATCCTTTCTTCATCTTTTTTAAAAGTGTCCTTTTTCATCTTTTCTTAACTATCTTTAACTATCTTTTCATAACGCGTCCTTTCATCTTTTCTTAACTATCTTAAACTGTCTTGTCATAACGTGTCCTTTCATCTTTTCTTAACTATCTTTAACTATCTTTTCATAACTATCTTTTCATAACTGTCTTCATCTTTTTTAAAAGTATCCTTTCATCTTTTCTGAACTATCTTTTCTTCTTTACTAGGCTGTCTTTTCATTCAGATTTTATAAAATTTCTTTTCATCTTTTTAAACATCTTTTCTATGTTATTTTTTTCTTCTTTCTCGAACTATGTTTTCATCTCTTGTGAAAGTCTCAGCCTCAATTTTAGGCAGGGCCCGAAATTTTTACTTCAGTATTTCCTATTGGCTTGTTCTGTTGAAGGAGTAAATGCACCTTCTTTTAAAATATCCTATTGTGCATTCTTTTTCAAACAGGTACAATGCACCTTTCACTCGTTGGCAAGAGAGTGGTCATATTTTCAATTCAGTTCAGTTGCCACTCTTTGGTCTGTCACAAGGCGAACCTATATTCCTTTAACTTTCTTACGTTCATATCTATTGGATGATTATTTTAAAAAACTTACTGACACTGAGTAAACAATTATTGTAGTTTAAGGGAGAAGGAAATAGAGAGGATCCCTGTATATGTATGCGACTTCTGAGCTGCCATGACAGAAACTTTTCAATATTTGCCTTCTTTCTTGTCTTTCTATATATTTTGCGTGTGCTTCGACTCTGTCTCACTTTCTGTCAGAATTTTTCCCTTTCTTTGGCTTGCCTTCCTCTACTTTCCTCCATTCTATCTCCAGTATTATTCTGCTCTGTTTTGTTTTCTTTTTATATCTTTGTTTGTATTGTTCTTATTCATTTCTTCACAAACTATCTGCGGGTGGTTGGAGGTAGGGCTAGATCCTGCTCGCCAAATCTGAGAGTGGCAAATCTGAGAGTGGCGATTCGCGATTCAGTAACACGAGTACACGAGCGCTCGTGGAACTCTGGCTGAACACTGACTGAAACGGAACAGTGTCATATCAATGCAGTAGTTTTTGGGACACCTGAATAGACATAAAGGTGTTGAACATCTAACTCTCACTGGCAAAATAGAAAGCAATCGAGGCAGGGGTAGGCCTTCAGCCACCTACTTAAGGAACCTAAACAAATGAGTAATGGGGTAAGATCAAGGAAACGTAACTTTTTTAAGAGCATCTGAGCATAGGAATGAATGGAAAACCATGATCGCCGATATCTGTCACAGATCTGGCAATGGATAATAATAATAATAATAAATAGCATTTATACTGCGCATTTCCATTTCCTAAAAGATGCTCAATGCGCATTACAATGAAAAAGACATCACATCTTAAAAATTAATCAACAAGTGTGTACGTAAAACAAAGTATTATGCATATAATATAAATGCATATGTGTAAAATTTTATACGAGAAAAACAGTCTCGCAGTGAGGTTGAAAATGAGTTCACTAAAAATATACAATGCAATAAAAATTCACGATCGGTCAAAATAAGTTGAAACGTGAGTAACTAGAAACATTCATTAAAAGATGAATTCTATACTGATAGAAAAACATTTCCATTCTCTCTCTCTCTCTCTCTCTCTCTCTCTCTCTCTCTCTCTCTCTCTCTCTCTCTCTGTCTCTATCTCTCTCTCTCTCCCTCTCTCTCTATCTCTCTCTCTCTCTTTCTCTCTCCCTCTCTATCTCTCTCTCTCTTTTCTCTCTCTTTTCTCTCTCTATCTCTCTTTTTTTCTCTCTCTCATTCTCACTCGCTATTTCTTTAGTCTCACAGTCTGGCATAGACATGCATATATATCACAGTACATCATTATGACAGGTATGCTTTTGTGAATAAAAAATGCTTCAGCTGATTTTTGAAAATGGAAATTGTTGGGGCAGATCTTATTTTATATGGGAGTTCGTTCCCTACCTGGGGACCAAAGAACAAAAAAGAACGCTCGCCGTTTGTTTTGTAATTTTGTTTTGGAGTTTTTTTTGGATGATGATGATCTTCATACTGCTACAGGGACATTGTATCCCTTCCAGCTTGGGTTGGCCCTGACAGGCAGGGTCAGATCAGTCCGTGTCTTCAGTGATCTCAGTACTGTTGATGCGGGTCACAGTAAAACTTCTACAATTACTTTTTTTTTTTTTAATTCGTGGTGCAACCTTTGAGTGAAGATTTTCATGGCCCACCTTTTCAGTGATCTTTGTACTGTAGATGGGGGCGTAAAACTTTTACAATTACTTTTTTAAAAAAAGAATTACGTTGTGCAACCTTTGAGTGAATACTTTCATCATTATACTATGCCTTTTACATTGCTTTGTTAGGTCTTTTTTCTTAATCTCACGTTTTTCCACAATTGTTTGTACAAATTAATGGGTGCACTGTCTGTTCAGTTGATGTCATGCCAGACTATGCAGCCGATGGCCCTGATTTGAATCCTCAAATGGGGTCTTTTGAACCGTCATTGTTTTGGGGAGTGTCTTAGCCTTTCCACCCATTTGCCTTAATCCTATTGGAGATGGATGTTAAGTTCATGCCTCCTAAATAATCTTGAAGTGTTGAAAGCAACATTAAATCCAAACAATGACTTTTGTACATTTTCACTGTTGCAGTTTGCAGTTTTCTTTATACAATTTGTGTTTTGCCTAATTTTCCTCACATTTTTTATGATATGACTCTGCTTTTCAGATATATGGTGTTATAGTAGAATACTTAAATGCCTGATGCTTGTTCTTTTTGAGTGTTTGTTTTAGTGTTGATGAAGTAGTGTATGCTCATGATCACATTGACTTTATTTTAAAAATATTTTTTTGGGCAAAGCAGTGAAAGTGATGATATTTCTATTTCTTTTAGTGGTTGGTTGGTGGGAGCTCTGTTGTGGTTTATTCCTTCTTTCTTATCAGACGTCTATCATCCTTATCTCTTCTACCTCTTTACTTTCTGTCTCTTGTTTCTGTCTGTCAGTCTTACTTTGTCCTAGCGCTAAATGACCATTATTGTGTCTATGTGCTTCTCGTTACTCACACAGCGAACAAACTTCTTTTTTTTTGGTGCTCTCTGGTAAAACCTCTAATCAATGACCTATTATCTTTTAGCCTACTCAAACAAACAGTTTCATTTACTTCATAGATAAAATCTGAATTGTATAGAATACGGGTTTACTTCTGTGTCAACAATATTTTTGGTATCTCGTATTGATTTTGTTTACTGGTATATTTCCTAGAGAGGAGGAGTTTCATGTCTGGTATGTCTCTTCTACTACATCTTTTTAGTGTTACTTATTAACCTATCTAATCTGTTCTATGTAAAGTGGAGCTGCCAAGTGCCGACTGGCAGTCATCTGCTGCTTTACGATAATGTTAACAAGAAAAATGTTATGTCTGTATTAGTTCCTTTATGTTTTCTATCCACCTGTGTCTTTCTGTCTGCATCCTGTACTTTATTTTTTGTTTTTGTTTTTACAATACAGACAACTCTCAAGGTTTTGGTGTGATTTTTATCTTTTTATTATCTGTCTGTCCTTAAGTCTATATTTTTGTCATGTGTGTGTCCCTCTTCCGTTCTCTTTTCTATGCCTGATACAATGCTTTTATATTGAGACACATGTGAGGTTGGCAGGTGCTCTGAAGGGGTTTGATCCTTCTTTCTTATCAAACATCTGTCATCCTTATCTCTTCTCCTTCTTTGTTGTGTTTGTTACTCCATTGTGACACCTTTAATTTTGGGTGGGTGGTTTGCGGGTGCTCTGGTGTGGTTTGCTTCTTCTTTCTTATCAATCTATTTTATCTCCCCTCCTTCCTTTTTGTGTTTGTTATTCTCTTGGAACACCTCTAATCTTTGGCACTTATATGACTTTATTGTGTTGCAAGTGCCGTTAAACTTTTACTTTAACTAAAGAACTTTACTTTTCGGCACTTATATGACCTAAATTTGTTGCAGGTGCTGTAAAACTCTTACTAAAACTAAATAACGAGACACAGGTACTCGTATGGTTTTGTGGTTATGACACCGAGTTTTGTATCTGAAGATCCTGGGTTTGATTAACAATTCTGGTAGTCTTTTTTTTGTGCTCTTAGATTCTGGATCAGTTCTGTGCAGGCATATTAATTTTATGTAAAAAAGAACTGCCTTTCAATTAACAGAATTATGCTGAAATAACCAAGATTAAAAAAAAAGCCAAACAGCTCTCTCTCTCTCTCTCTCTCTCTCTCTCTCTCTCTCTCTCTCTCTCTCTC